TGCTAAGGCACAGCTTACAGCCCTGTAAAGTGAAAAGTTCATGCCAGAAATGGCCCTCAATGCTTTCTGGAGGTGGTACCAGTGTACCACTGGTAATTCCATTAACTCATCAAAGAAAGTTTGTAAATAAGTCATGGACTGCTAATTTGTCCTCATAGTAGAAAACCTAATCCACATCATGAGGAATGTGTATTTTTATTCCAACTATGACCCGTTTAGTAGTATTGAATGAACTTTCCTTTATCTTTCATATTAAATTAAAACATAATTCAGCAAAAGAAGATTCCTATCTTGACACCTGACACCTCTATAAGCAATTGTGATTGCCATCATGGAAGATACTTAGAACATCTGATCTTACATCATCACATGCTATATATCTATCACCTGTGCAGTTTTATCTAAAAAAACCTACCAGACCATCATGGTAATGTGCTAAAATATTATAATGTTGATAAAAACGCATAGAGTCTAAACCAACACCTTTTTCTCGCGTCTCTCAAGTATATCAAAAGGACAAAAGCAAAAAAGGTTAATCTTGACTTACCACCCGCAGGAATGATATCCAAAACCCTGGTGGAGATGGCGGAGCACCAAATGGATTATTCGGATCTTGATTGCCATTAGGACCCCCCATGCCCATCCCATAACCACCCATTGGGCCTCCAAAACCACCATTGTACATACCCCCTCCGTACATGCCAGAACCTCCATAAAGCCCACCACCATAACCTCCTCGATACATGTTGTTTCCATACAACCCCCCTCCATAAGACCCTCCCAATCCACCATATGATGAGCCATACATTCCAGAACCATAACCAGAATTATAATTCAAACCGGAACCATAACCTGCATTTGGCATAGTCAAGCAGTAGGCTCCATTAGATGCCATGAAAAAGTAATGTGGCATTATAGTAAATGATTTCTACCAATGCATGTAGTGTTGTCATCTTTGTTTTCTACCTAAATTTTAGTCAAACAGCCCCAAAAGACTTTAAAACACCTACTTTTTATTTTTATTAATTTAATCACTAAAACTTTCACAAAGCAATGCCCATCAATATACTGCATGATACCATATATACCATTTTTGCATGATCTATGATAAAAACCTTGAGGCCTGTTCATACTGTTTATTTTATACTATGATACAGATAATAGCCACCAAAAGAATAGGGCGGATACGTGTAGAGTGTCAAGACCCAAGAGGTGTGTCTGACAACAATTTGTAAGACAATGTGCAACATGCATTACATAACCAGAATTATAGAGCTTGACGTGGTAATTTGATCTAAACAGGAAAACTCCCACAAGACAAGCTGTAATCTATACATCACAAATTTGTAATAAACCTAATGTAAGATTATAGAAAATAAATACCTCCAATAGTACTGCCGTATGTCTGTTGTTCCCAGGGCATAGTGGGTACAGGCCTACCAAGTATTTGTGTCAGTCCTTTCTGTCCAACACAAAGCCAGAAGAATAACATAAAAAACAAGAAGATCATATGTGAACCTTAATGCTGCTTAAGGTCAAGTCACTGTCCAATACAAACTTCCCGGCATCATCGTTTCCCGTGTATGCAATAACCTGCATATAAATGGACAGCATCCAAAATTTTTGTTTACTCAGTTTTAGGTAAGTACAATTAACAGGGATGTACAATATATGGAAAAAGGAAAGATAGTGGAAAAAGGAAAGAAAAAATGATTGATTGATTGATATATAATAGAAAAGAAAGTGATTTTGAAATTCCTTTTAAAAAAATTCAACCAAACATGTTTTTGGAATTTTTTTTCTTCAAAAATATATTTTGAGAGACAAACCAAACATATCCGAAAATTGTGATGGAGATTTAATGTGTGTTTTGTGGTTCAATATACAATGTTAATTTGGACCACATATTGATGTTTTTGAGTAAATTATTAGTAAAAATTATGAATTTGTAGTATTATTGCATTTAAAGGCATAGAACCACCAAAAGGTTCTCTTTTCTAATGTTTCTGTATATAATATGTGAAACATCCATGGCATAGAAATAAAGCCCAACTTATGGCAGTGCCGGAATATATCAGCAACAAAAGTATTGAAATAAAGGTTCTCTTTTTTCATGTTTTATTGGGCTTTGCTTTGCTGATATATGGCACAAGTTATTGTGTGGTGATTTGCAAAGAAGTTAAAGAATAGAGAAAAAACTTAAAAAATAAAATAAAATAAAAGGAGATTGTTAGAATATTTTGCTTCCTTTACCTGCAAAACCCACCTTTAACTTCCTTAAGCTCATCAATCTGACCCACACATATGATAGATATGATATATATTCTGGGTTGCTTTGGAGTTGTCTGCAGAGTCATGTCGGCTTAGCTTGACACACATTGCAAGCATTAATGTAAGGGTTTTAGATACCATTCCCTGTCGAAAGGGTTCTTCTAAAATTATTTGAAGGGGTACTGACTACCCACGCCCCTATCCCAACCAAGTCCATTGAATTTAAGCACAAGAAACTAATTTGCCTTCCCGGATAGTATTATAAACAACTTTTTCGTTGGTTCTCTAGAATATTTTTCAATTTTAAAGAGGCTGAAACTTAAAGAAAGCTATGCCTTCTAGGGAATATCTTCTAGGCCTGGGTTTGTCTTATCTTCTTATCTCTATCTCTCTCTCTGTGAAGTCTTTATATAACCAACGATCCAATTGCCAATGGCTAGCCAACCAGAGAGAATATTCTCCTCTTTGATTTCAGCTATCGCATACTGTTTCGATCATCGTGGACACACCCACCACAAAAGCATCAGACATACCCCCAACAACATGCCCAAGGGTCGACCCCTTTCTTTGCAGGTTGGCTTTCACACCCTATGTAGTTTTGTTTTGTTTTTTTTGCATACTAAGGTTATAATATATACATAAATATACGTTGTTTTTAAGTTAAGGTTAAAACATTTAATTACTATCGGCCTTCTGTAAAATATGAGCACGGAAATAAATTATGCAAACATGGAGTTGTTGGCTGTATTGAGGCTATGGCATGCGATAGTCTTACTATTTTGAGGTTGAAATGAAAATGATGTTTTATATATGCCACCTGTTTAAACATACAATCCATCTTAACCATGCCAAGTGTCAACCTAAGGAAAACAAAGAGATGCTAAAAGTAGAACACATTTTTAGATAGTAATCAATACATAACTAGAATTAGTTTTCAGAATTGTAAATTGTGGTTTGACAATAACATTCAATTAGTGTATTACAGTCAGCATCTAAAAAAAAAAAAAAAATTAGTGTATTACAGTGTTCACGCACAGCGTAAATTTGGACGGTTCAATATTTTTAAATAAAATTACGAGTAAAACTTCTAGATACCTGATATTTTTTGTTTTGGAACCCATATTAAAAAAAGGGATGGATTTTCCTAGACAAGTTGCCAAAAAACAAAAACAAAAAAATCAGATCACAACTAAGATCATATTTCGAATCAGATCTGTTGGTCCACAACAAAAATCAGATCTGTTGGTCCACAAAAAATCAGAGATGAGAGATCAGGGAGAGAGAGAGAGAGAGAGACGCTTACCTGTGTGTGAGTCGATCGGTGCAGAGATGCAAAACCAGAGAGTGAGTGTGAGACTGATGAGATGAGAGAGTGAGGGAGACAGATCAGATCAGAGAAGAGATATATATATATATATAAAACAAAAAAAAT